CTCTCTCTCTCTCTCTCTCTCTCTCTCTCTCTCTCTCTCTCTCTCTCTCTCTCTCTCTCTCTCTCCGCACAATGGTTTTGACGTTCATTGTTTCCTCTCTTCAACTTCTTTTTACCCTTCTAAATTCAACCTGACAACTAGGAAAAGAAAAAGGGAAAACTTGAATGGGATTGTTTTTCAATCTCAAAATTGTTATCGATTTGAAGTTGTTTGTAACATACACGTTCAGTTATCGTGTTATGTAATTTTAAAAGTGAATAATATTATGAAATATTATATAATTATGAGCATTGAGTTCTAACGTATAGTTTTTACTAGAAATGAAGTAAACTATGTTTACAATCGCTCGAAAAATATTGGAAGTCTTATGAGATTCCAATCAAAAGTCAAATACTAAAATTTAACGAAAATATAAAATTTGAAATAAGTAAAATTTTATTATTGAAAGTTGTAAAGAATCTCGTTAGAAACATTTAGACGAAAACCTCATCGAAATCCGAGTTATAACGAAGAAGTTATGACCAATCGAAGATCCGCGACAAAACCGGCACGGCGCCGAATGACGTAAAAATTGAGTTTTTGATAAACTAATTTTTAGCCTTGGTGATCTAAACGAAATTCGTAGTATTTGTTAAACCGAGAATTTTGATAAAAAGAACGCCCAAATCTATTTTCGTATGAGGAAGTTATGATTTTTCTAAGTTTCAGCTTAGCAGCAGACAGCTAAAAACTCGAATTTTAGATCGACTGATTTTTAGCCGACACAACCTAAACGATAATTGAAGGTCTCGTCATTAGTAGTACAACGGTAAAAAGACAGACGAAAACAGACGTCGGATGAAGAAGTTATGAATTTTTAACGGATTTATCAGTCCCGGTCTGTTAAAAATAATAATATTAAAAATAAAGTCAAAATTAGCCGACGAAGTCTAAATGAATGTTGTAGAATATATTCCTGCCTACGCGTGCATATATAGAACGTCAAAAACGGAGTCCGTATGCGAAAGTTATGGATTTTAGAAGATTTGGGCTCATTTTCCGAGGAATCTTGCAAGGATAAGGCCGATTTCGGTGAATCAGCAGCCACGTGTCGCGTTCTTCCCGGGTCCGAGCTCGGTCCAGTAGACGTCCGACGCGTGTTGCGGTGACTCCTCGCTTCCGAAGCCATGGCGCGTCCGAGGAGCGACGCGTGTGCAGCCTCGTCCGAGCCTCGCTCTCCCTGCCGCGTGTCCGACCTTCGCACCATCTGTCCTCCTTACCTCTCGCTTCGGATCCGAACCTCGGCCCTATAAAAGGGAGGTTGCGAGACCTCCCGGGTATTTTTGAGAAAATGCCCCTTTTTCACCCCTAAACTCATATTTCTACTATTTCAACTTCCCCCGAAGCCCTGTGATTATTTCTAACGCCCGAAACACGCCCCGAAGTGCCCGAGAAACCCGAGAAATTTATTTTTTCGGTTTGAAGCCCAACCCTCGCAGGGCCCGGTTTTCAACGACGAAACTTTATTATTATAACGAAGTGCTGCACAAATTACTATTTTAACCCCTGGTTATTTCACGGTGAGTTTAATATATAGGAACAATTGTATGTTATGTGTTATATGTGCTATGTGCTTTTCAGTGTTATTATTCCGGGTTATTTCCCCGTGTTATTTTTATTTCTGCTATTTATGATAGCAAAGCTATACCTTTGACCATGTGATCAGTGAAAGGACTTAGATTCACAGTGGTACTGGTACGTAGCCTCTGGCCATGTAGAGCATGTCTCCGTAAGAGAATGACTTCTATTCTATGGCATTGGCAGATGGTTAGACAGGGCTATAAGCCTGAAATCTACCGAAATGTTTAAATCAGAAAGTGTATGTCTTCCGTGCCATTTGGGCCGAAGCTTTATTGATCGTATAACTTTGAATCAAATCATTGATTGATATGGAAAGTTTGTCACATGATTCACATATGCCTTTGTTGTTTCTTGTTCCTCTTTGCTTCTGCCATATTGAA